TCTGGGCTACCTGGGAGGGATTTTGGGCAACCTGGGATGGACCTTGGGCCACCCCCGGGCCACCTTGGACCATCCAGGGTGACCCTCAGGACACCCTGGACCCCCTGGGTGACCCTTGGGCCACCTTGGATGACCTTTGGGCCACCTTGGGTGACACGCAGGTCACCTTGGACCACCTTAAATGACCCTTGGGCCACCTTGAACGACCCCCAAGCCACACTGGACCACCTTGAATGACCTTTGGGCCACCTTGGACCACCTTGGATGACCCTTGGGCCACCTGGAATGACCTTTGGGCCACCTTGGATGACCTTTGGGCCACCTTGGATGACCTTTGGGCCACCTTGAAGAACACTCAGACCATCCTGAATGACCTTTGGGCCACCTTGGGCCACCTTGGATGACCCTTGGGCCACTTTGAATGACCCCCAGGCCACTCTGGACCACCTTAAATGACCCTTGGGCCACCTTAAATGACCCTTGGGCCACCTTAAATGACCCTTGGGCCACCTCGGCTGAGCCTTGGGCCACCTTGCCCACCCCTCCCCCCCCCATCCGTCCGTCTGTCCGTCCGTCCCGGGGCCTCTCCGGCCCCTCCCCCTCCTGGAGCCTCGTGTCCGTCCAGCCCGGCCAAAAACCCGGAACGTGGGGGGGAGGGGGAGGGGATGAGTCGAGACCCCCCCAAACCCCCCTCCTCCACCCCAGAATTCCCAGAATTCCCGGAATTCCCAGAATTCCCGCCGAGCTCTTCCTCCTCCTCCTTCCTCCTCCTCCTCCTCCTCGAGCCTCGTGTCCGTCCAACCCGGCCAAAAATCCAGAGAGTGGTGGGGGCGAGGGGAGAAGACCCCCCCAAACCCCCTCCTCCACCCCAGAATTCCCAGAATTCCCGGAATTCCCAGAATTCCCGCCGGGCTCTTCCTCCTCCTCCTTCCTCCTCCTCCTCGAGCCTCGTGTCCGTCCAACCCGGCCAAAAACCCGGAACGTGGTGGGGGGGAGGGGATGAGACCCCCAAACCCCCACCCCAGAAT